GTGTTATAACTCTACCTATGGTATTGGCCATGGCCAGCATAAGTGCTTAGCCGATGACACGAAGGATTACGACGATGACGAGGCGGCTCGACATAACGGCACAATACAAGCTGCTAACATTAACAGACATAAAGCTACCTGCGTTAAGTTTAACTGTAAATGTGTATGAGTGGGCATGAGTGTGGACGTGTGTCAGTGTGTGTGTGCGTAGGCCCAAGGACACGCCGTTAGGCAGCAGAATTCAACCCCTGAGCAGAAAGCCGTCGGCACTGCTCTGAGCTGAGGCCAAAGCCCGACGGCTGCTGTCCCTGCGAGCGGGGCGCCTAGGCCGTGGAAGGCGTTCGCCTCGGCTGCTGCTGCTGCTGCCCAACCAGGAGGCTCGGTCGGGCACCAACCGGGCGACAATTAAGCGCCGCTAACGGACCTATGGGAGCAGAGGACGCGCTGCGCAGACTCCTGCAACGGGACCGGGTCCAAGAAAGCCGGCAGAGCCACACCCACCGACTGCCTGGAGGTGATATTAACCAACAGTTAACGGCCGACAGCGGCCGACCACAGCTGCAGCCATCCGACCCACAGCCGAAACGAATGTGTGTCAAGACATTCAGTTGCCCCCGGCCCGGTTGCGTATACGTATTACCGTTACCTGTCATAGGCAAGTCTCAGGCAAAGTCATGTGTCTTTGTCGCACGCCCTTGGCAGCGCAGCGAGTGCAAGCGAGTCAGTCAGCGGGCGAATGCATTTCGGGGGTTGAGTGAGACGAACGACGCACGAACGAACGAAGCTGCGAAAAGTTTGTCGTAAGAAGCAGAGCGCACGCAACGAAAAGCCGAGAGAAAGTAAGTTGTCAGCCGCCCCGAGAGAGCAAACGTTTGTGTGCGCTTGCAAGTGTGCGTGCGTGTGCGAGTGTGTGTGAGTAGCAGAGAACATTTGTGGAGTGTAAGTAAAAAATCATACAAGTGGTCTTGTGGAACACAATGTCTGTGGTAATCAGCAAAAAAGCTTAATAGCTTGTACTAGATTAACTTATTTAGCTGTAATACATACTTATCAACTAACACGCACTCACATACAAGTACACTTATGTATGTAGTTATGTAAATAAATTGGAGAGCAGATTCACATTTCTCTTTTATTCACATTAATTGGGCACCCGTAGCTCATAGCTCATATGTAGCTCTATCTCGCTCTGCCATTAACTCTTTGCGTTATTTTATGTTCATAGTTCTATTTGCTTTCGTTCTTCCAGCAGCAACATGCGATTGTTGTTGGTGCTTTTTATTTTGCTTTTCTTTCTTTTTCGTTCAGTATTTTAAACGACGCAATTGACGCCGACATCGCAGTCGCTAACGCTGCCGCAGTCGGCGGCATAAGCCACGTTTTTGCGCTACTTTTACTTATGTGTATGTGTATGTGAGCGACTGCTCGGTGTATTGCTGTGTGTGTGTGTGTGTAGCTGTGCGTGTCATTTCATACCACATTAGGTAAGGTTAGGTTTTTAATTTTGTTTTCTAACTTCGCGCCGCTTTGTAGCTGGCACTTTGCCACACACGTACACAGCTGATGTGTGTGTGTTTGTATTTCTGGTTTAGCTTCATATTTAATTTACTTTTTTTGTGGGCGCCATTCTTCACTGATCTCGCGCGCGCGCATGCTTTTCTCTCTTTTTGGTTGAACTCCAGTCAAAGTGCTCTGGTTTGTTTACAAAATAAGGAAAGAAAAAAATGCTATTCGAGTATTCGTGTTTTATTTCCGCTTTCTTTGCTTTTGTTTTTGTTTTCTGTTTTCATTGCTGCCGGCAGTTAACCTGTTTGTTGCACTCTCTGCGCTCTCTGCTAGTGGATCGTCATCGTTGTTACTTCTCTACCGCTCCCTCCCTCAACAATCCAAATATTTTCGCACAGCATGTGGTTTTCTTCAATTCACATGGCATATGTACATATGTTTGTATGTATGTGCATACCATATATCCATACATACAATCATACATAGTACGTATGATTTTACATACAAACACATTGACACATTTCACACATTCATTCACATATGTTTGCATGTATTTACGAGTAAGCGTGTATAAGTATCGTTTTATACGCTTCGCTCTTTTTTGTGAGTTTTTTTTTCTACGCCTTGTCTATTTTCGCTATTCTGCTCCGCTATGAACTTGAGAGACCACGTGGTTTTTTGTGTTGGCGAAACGCCAGTTCGTTTCAGTTTGTGGCTGTTGTGGATGCCAAGCCGAAGCTTGTGGACTGTCGATGATGTTTCGCTGTGGATGCCATTCCACAAGAGCGCCACGCTCTTTTTGCTTTTATCTTAATATCTGGTAGCTGTGGCGCGTCTTCTAGCGCGCCATCAGGAAGTGCTTCATCAAATTTACATACACACACACATGTGTGCGGCTGCCTATGCGTACGTGTGTGCGTGTCCCGTTGCCATTTGCATATGGAGCGACGTCATCAGCGAGCGCTGCGAGAATTTCCAGTTTCCATAGACTCAAACTAAGTCGCACTTTCATTGACGCCTTTAGCCGTTAGCGCTAGAGGCGGGCGCAGTTGACAACGGGGGGTGTGGCTTGAATTACAAATTTTCTCTCAATTGCGTCAATTCTGGTACACAGATTGCATCAATTACCGCATACGGCGCTTAATTAATCAGCTCTCATTTATTCCTACGCAATTTATGTACATACATACATATATACATACATACATAGTTGCAATTGCTAGAATGAGAAACAGTTAATTCAATATTGCTAACTCCTATATTTCGCATAAATAAGACTAATAAAATTTAATATTTCAGCTCATTTCGCATTCAGCACACCGAGAGAGAGATAGAGAGAGAGAGAGAGAGACATAGCAAATAGCCAATCTATATTCCAGTTTAGACACCAATCCAGCCAACAAATTGTTAGTACCCATATTCAAATTCGATACGCCACACATACACACACACACACAAGCGAGCAAGCACACAAACACACCGAGACACACTGAGAGCAAACATTCTACATATATACAGTCAGGGCTACGTCTATTCTACCGTTGCCCCTCTCATCGCATTCCAGCCGAAGTCGCCGTAGCTATTAAACAGAAATTATAATTTTTTGAAGGCCACTCGACGCGGCTGATATCATTACTCCCATCTAGTTCCAATTGAGCCGACGTCGCGCTAATTTTTTACTACGTCGTCAATTATTGGAACGAAGCTTTGGACCTGGCTCCGTTAGCAGCGGTAGAGATAGGTATAGGCAGCTGGAAGCGGCAGCGGCAGAGGCAGAGAGGAAGAGACAGAGACAGAAGCGGCGACAGCAATGGCGTTAGCGACAGTGGCGCATGCGCTGTGGAAGGTAACGTGGGGGCGCACCAGCATTGGCTACGCCTTAAACGCCACTTGTTGTCCGCCCCATTATGCTTGTGACGTCACAAAACCGTCAAACCTGTGCCAAAGCCTCAGGCTAATTTTAGCGACAACGATGACGACTGGAAAGTTTGACAACTGAAGTAAACTATGTATGTACATGCATACGTATGTGTGCGTGTGTGTAAGTGTGTGTGTATGCATGCGCAGGATAAATGCGCTGTTAGAGGTTGTTCAGATTTCTGGTTTATAATAAATGAATAATAAATAAATGTGAATGCAGCACAATATAATAAAGTTATTATCCGGTTATGGATGACAAATTAGCATATTAAACTTCCAATATTGAAGACAATACTCATAATTAGCATATGCTGTATTTAAGTTAAAAGCATTTTGAACTGGTTCAACTATAAAACGAGCATGATAACATTGCCTAGCAGAGCTTTAGCAGGGAAGCAATGTTGTTGAAGAAGTAGAACACGAAACACAGCAGTGAACGGATAGAACTAAAAATTGATAACTGGCCAATAAATTGCCATCGATCGCACAGCCTCGAGCCTCGAGCACTTTCGCATATTGCATCTGTGTCGCAGTCTGGGCCATAAAGCGCTAAGCCTTACTTAAGCTCAGGCGTCTAGACTTCATTAGCAGCGTCATTTGTGAAATTTATGTGGCAGCCACATTAACAACTCAAATGTCCGGTTACAAATGAACGAACCAGTCTATGCGACGAAATTGGCTGGCGGCCGCTAATAAAATTCGTGTTATGAATGCGCGTGCCTAGCAAACTTTTTCTGTTTTTTGTTTTTTTTTTTTTTTTTCTTCTTCTTGTATATCTTGTTCGACTGCAATTTTTCGGTAAATTTCCCACAACGACTGGAACGCGTCGCGCGCGCGCGCAGATAACAAACATTTGGCCCATTTGCCAGTTATCAGTGGCATGCTGGAAATTTGTTGGAAACGACTCGCTTCCACATTCAGATCATCGCCAAAGAAGATGGCAGGCAAAACAAACTAGAAAATACATACATATATTCATTTGTACAAGCATACACACACGCACACTAGGGGCTTTATTACTCAATTGATGTGTGTGTGTGTGTGTACTCTGGTATGTGTTGTAAGAATATGTGAGCGCCAAAATACAAAACGTGCATTTTTGTGGAACTCAAATATGTGGATTTCAAAACAAGCACACACATGCACTGCTGCCAATTCAGCTTTTTTCCCGTCAAATCTGGCTTTTTCCGAAG